CCCCCTCTCCCACTGTCTGAAAACCTTGGGTACATAGACGCATCGTTGTTACGTTAAACTTTTCCCTCTCTCAAATCATCCTGGAACAATTAGATAGGTTTTCTATTATCTGAAGCACTTTGACATCAGTATTTTACGACACATGCTGCTTGAATAATGATGAATGGATTAGCACAGGGTTTCTAATTAGGACACAGTTGAGAGCAGTTCAATAAAAAATAGCCATTTATTTCTCTAAAGTCATTTATTTTTGGCAACGTGCGCCCGGGCTGAGCCAGGGTTAGGGCAGCAGGAGGATCTTTCACCAACTACTTGTGAGTTGTGTAGAAACCAGTGCAGGTGTTTGGGCCCAGTGTGAGGCTCTACTGCGCTTTTTAAAAACAAACCAATTTTTTGTAGCTTCACTCCAGAACAGCACAAGTGTCAGTGTCAATTTATTTTTAAAGCACATGTCCAAAACATGTGGTGACCAAAGTGCTGTACAAAAACCACACATAACAATAAAAACAACAAGAATTAACTGAGGTGCAATCCAAGAATCACACTCAATACCAGACTGTGGCCAGTGAAGAAGGCCTCAGCACTTCAGCGCTGCAGATAGAAAAACCGTACGATACAGGGGGATCTGAGTGACTAAAGTGGCCCGTGAACCCAACGACAGCAGCGGTGGCTGTTTTACTGCAGCTTCTCCTCAGGACCCAGAGACAAACTCAGGTTATATGGCATGTCCCATACGTAGCTCAGGCCCATCAGGGTTAGGGTTACTGAAGATATAAGTGAAGATCAGACATCTTCACCCTTGAAGCTACATCCAGGTACAGTTATTGTTGAATCCACACTTTTTCAAATGTGTGCCCTGTCTGTGGTTGGGGCACTAATGCTCCTTTCAGAACGTCACTACATGGACTTTTCTCATTTAGTTTTCTTTCAGGCAGTGAGGAGACACTGCAGGAATAATCAACCCTTCAGTCAGACACACTTTGATGTCTGTCCATTTGTTCTGTGTGACTGAGTCGACAATAAGCTGTTCTTCTTGATGGAACATACACTAAATGTACAGAGATGCTACTGAGTCATATGGAACCTTCATCATCACGGTCACAGTAATAAACAGATGGTTAAGGTTATGAAGCAACCATTGGCCAGTCAAAGTCCCGTGTCCATCCTCCCCAGGCTCTAGTAGCTGCCTAATGGTAGTAAATAGGCTCAGATATTTTATTTCCTCCCCACTGTCCTGATTACAACAACAAGGCTGTCGGTAAAGTGTTGCTGAGCTAACTGCTAAATGGTGCCTGTTTCGTTCTGCCGTAGTCATATTTTGATGCTCTACACCACAGCCCACACTGTGAGCCAGGCCCGTGGCGTTCCACCATTAACTGGAGGAGTGTCCACACCACAGCTGTGCTGGGCTCCAGGAGATCGGCTGACCTGACCTCGTTCTGCTGAGCGGCTGATGTGGATTGTATAGAATATCAGTCTCAGGAATCCCTCTGTTTCTAGCTCCAGTCACCATCAAACCAGGAGTTAAGTTTAAGGAGCTCATTTTATTATTTTTATATTCAGTTTGCTTTTAATCATTTGCCATTTTTCACTCTTTGGCAGTTCAATTTGATTTTTCATCTTGTGAAATCAAACCTCTGTTAATACCAGTGTATGTAATACAGGGGTCTCAGACACTGACCCTTACAAAGAATGTACAAGTAAGAGTTTGAGAGGCCGGGGTGCCACCTGGGGGCAGCCTCATGACAGCAGCGTCGTCACCGTGTGAAGCACTGAACATGATCCACATATGCAGGGTACTTTTTATTTATCATGACTCATGAGCTGCTTTCATATGTTGTCTGTGTGTCTATGTGTAAAATTGCTGTACATTGGTGTCAGGTCGGTTCTTCTCGTGGCTCCTCAGCTCAGCAGCCTCTGCCGTTATCGCCCCCGCAGCCCTCAGAACGAGTACTCAGCTGTGAAAATCTGTGAACACTTCCACCCCTATTTCCCATAACGCTTGTTGGTTGATTGGAGACTGTAAAGCAGTATTATACCAAATGTAGAATTGACCTGAGGTCAGAGCAAAACCTATGGAGCCCAGTTACGAATGACTGTGTAAACTTGGTGATGTCACAGAAAGACCATCACTGAGCTGCTCCCGTGAGCTCTGCTGGTGCAGCGGGACATTCAGTCACAGGTTCGGTCCAGGAGTTGACCATCCAATGAGCTGCTGGCTGGGTCACTCAGCAAATAAACTCATGGACATATAAGCAGTAGTAACACTGGTAATAATGGACTGAGCATCACGACATCATAGCGTTGACATAGTGTTATGTTTCACGCTGCTGCTGTCTGAAGCATAACCCTTCATGGTACAGTATGTGTCAGAAAATATCAGTGCAAGTTTTCTGTTTGCATTCATTATTCAACATCTCAAAAGAAAATCTTTAAATAGATCACAGCAGAACGGCTGTCCCCCGTCCGGCCTGGGAGGCGACTGCAAATCAAACTGTTTGCTTGTCAGTCAAAGTACCTTGAGACAGAGCTGCCGTAGTTAAGTAAGTAAGTAAGTAAGTACATTTTATTTAGATAGCACCTTTCACAGACAAGGTCACAAAGTGCTTTACAAAGTCAAAAGATAAAAAGAGAAAAATAATATACATAAGCCTACAAGTACTCACATAGCACAACACAATTTATAAAATGAATAAACCCAGTCAATTAAAGTAGTTGCCCCAGATTCAGCATCAGCTCTGTCTTCCTGTTGCACTGATGCTCCACTCCCAGATGGAAGATACAGTAGAAAATCCTGCATTAGTGATGCAGCAGAGGCACCAGACAGATGATTTGTTTAGCCTAGAGAAAGTCTGTAATTTCAGAAATGGATGCATGACAGATGCAGAGCTAGTGGGCATCAGCACCGACTCCAAACAGGTTCAGGCTGAAACTGCTACTTCTGTGAAGGCATCTGTGGAAAGACCGTCAATTAAAATAGAAATGATGAGTCACTGAGTTGATGGGAACAGTGCATGTTGTGACTGAGAGTGCAAGTACATTAATTATCAGACAAGCACAGGGGCCTTAACAGTGTCTGAAATAGCTAAAAATAAATGTTTAAAATAGCCACAGATACAGATTAAGTTGTTTTTTTAGCCTCCCAAAACTCAGGTCATAGAACCATGTTCAGGGGATGAACAGTTACTTGAATTCTGCTGCCAGAACCAGGCCTGCACTACCGGAGTCACTGCGCTCCATCCTGTCTGAGATGCGATGACATATCCGGCCTGGCAGGAGGAGGCCGACGCGGCTCCGGCAGCTCGGTGTCCCGGCCCCCAGAGGCAGTCGGCCGAGATCCCATCGCTGAGTGAATTATGAATTAGCTCTCTCTCTGTAATGGAGTCTTTTCAACTTTTATTCTCGTCATCTATTCTGTTTTTCCAGCTCTCTTTCATGTCTGCCTTTTACCCCTTCACACCCCCGCTCTGCTGACTTGGAGCTCGATGCAGACGGACTTATAGAGGCCACGGTCCTAATTTTAGCCTGTCAGAAAGTATTAAAATGTATACATCAGTGACATCATCACCGAGTGTCAAGGACATCTCTGCAGCATCAGTGGCAGAGGGAGAAGGGCTGTCACTCTGAAGACAGTGCTTATACATGATTAAGTGCACTTCTTAAGATAAAGGACTCGCCGCCTTATAACTCTATTTCCTGCACCGACTGACTGCGAGGGTCTGTGTGATGGAGTGGAGACCAAGCTGTCAACAAAGGAGAGAAAATGAATTCTGACTTTGAAACATCCATTTTCTTTTGAGTGTGATTTGATGACAACTGGGTTTTAAACTGTACATCACAGAGCTGGCTGCTATTTTTCATTTTTGTAAAAGTCAAACATCAGATATTTTACCTTTATTTATGTCGGTGACTAACTGACAAACTGGTTTTCTGCCTATTTGTTCATGTGTAGCCTATATAACATATGAAACAGTTGTTTTTTTACTTGGTGTAATAAAAATACTTCATGCTGAGTTATGTATACAGCCCCCATCAAAGCCCAGTCTGTGACATAAGGGAAGATTTACCATTTCACTACTTTAACCAAACCCAGTTTGTCCCGCGGTAGGTTTTCAGTCCGACCCAGCAAAAAGAAAGGTTACAGTAAAAGCTGGACATTATAAAGTTTCCTTTTGAGTTTCTTTTATGACTTGATTAATAAAAGAAGAAGAAAAGGTATTGAAAGGAGTCATTAATTTGACATATTCATCAGTCGAGGTTTCGTGGACGTCAGCAAACACACCGGGGATGATATAAATCACTCTAGTGTGAAGTGTGTGCTCCTCTGGCTGCCTTGTTAACGCGTTGTCTAATGGTGTAATACTGATACTGGGGTTTTCAGATTTCACACCTTTTATATTTGTATTTTGTCAGAGGTTAAATAAAATTCCTGTACTTTTTCTCTTGCCTTTGACCTGTAGCCTGGTTTGAAGTCTGTGATCATCTCTCAGCGTGGCTGGAAACGTGCATGACTTTCACATCTCCAAACTCTGATTCATGTGGAGGTTATACTGTATGATTAGAGATATTTCTGCTCAATTTCTGTTCATCCTGTTTTCCATTGTCACCAAGAAGGCTGCTAAAATACACAGGGTTCACAGGGTTCACTGTTGTCGTGCTATATGTTGGGGCAGTGACACCAGGCAGGAGCGCCACTGGCTTTAGTGTACAGAAGATGCCAAGGAGACACTGTGGGACTGACACCTTCATTTATCTCTGTGGTGTATCTGTGTTGTTTGCTTCGATGTCAGCTGTGGCAGACTGAGGTACCTGTCCAGGAGCGGAACACTTAAAGACGCTGATTTAAGTGCAGAACAGATGATACACAGGAAACATGACTTGCTTGTTATGCTGCTGTCACATTCCCTGACACATTCATGATGGCATGATGCTGCGTGACTGCCGCAGCCTCATGAACACCCCTGCTTTGTTGTGTTGACCTGGTGTCTGTCGCCTTCCAGGGTTCGACGCATACTTCATATCACGGACTCTGGAGAACAACCGGAGGAATGTGTGGTTTGCCGAGTACTGGGAGGAGAACTTCAACTGCAAACTGATGAGCTCCTCCAAGAAGGATGAGAGCAGCAGGAAGTGCACGGGTAAGTGTGTGTGTGCGTGCACTTGCATCATTATCAATATGCATGAAAATACTGTAATACTCAGTTTAATCCTCAACAGCTGTGTTCACTGTGGATGTTATTACAAGCAAAAACCACTGATAATGACAACAGATATTTGAAGATTCATAATGAACCGAGTCAGAAATACGTTGTACCTGCTTTGTTAATGGATCATCCCTCAAAAAAGGCCATTTCAGAACAGCACACTGAACAGACGAGGTCACATAGTATGAGCCCTTTGATAGCACAACAACAAGTGCCTGGTTGATTTGATGATGCCAGGGTTGCCTTCCTCCTAAGGATGCTCGACTGGTTCTCGGCAGGTTGAGGTCAGGAGATGGTTTATGCCCAGCGCATCCCAGGCATCAGTGGTGCTTTGTGGAGCATGGCTGGTGTATTGTCCTGCATGAATCTTCTTTTATATTGTGGCAAGTATATGGCCAGTTGTTCAGAGCAGCCAGGACTCCACATATCATGTAGAGGTCGTTTCTACAGCCTCAGTGGCCATAAAGTGTCTTCATGGTGCAGCTTTGAGCACAACAGACTCTGGAAGGTCCTGCATGCAGAGGTTCTCAGGTCTCCAGAGGCACTGACACTTTGCTGCTCAACAGAGCCTTTTTATAGCCGCCCTTTGAATCCTATTAATTTGTCTGACAGTAACTTTCCTTAATAAGCCTTTATCTGTGCTCTGAATCACTGTCAACTCTCGTCATACCTCAATGAGCTTACTTCAGTTTTTGCGAAATATCACTGGTTTTCATGCCTTTTGCGAGACACTATTTCTCACATTAAAACTAGATCTTTTCCCTTCATGATCCTGTGTTTAATAATGTGGAACAGCCTCGACCTTCATATTACAAAATACGCCAGCGGCCCAGATCTGCTATGAAATGGTATTCTCCTCCTCTGCACATACGGCCTGTCGTCATCATTCGGCGTCGGCCCCTCACAGACCGGTAACAATAAACATGCGACGGGGTCAGTGGAGAGACCAGGACGCTTCATATGTGGTGGATGTTTATGGAGAAGCTTCTGATCAGGTCAAACTGGAAGGAACATATCGTAACCCAGCGGTTTGGGAAGAAACTGGGCCGTTTGACCATCATTGAGGTTCGAGGACATCCCAAAGCCCTTATTCCTTCTCTGCAGATCAAGGAAACTGCTGGAGGAGCTACGAGCAAAGAAGCACGAGAGCATCCTACACAGAAGTCCTTTACAATTCGACATGTCCACTTATCAGAAATGATCAGATGCTTCAGATGAAGGATGACAGGAAGGGATGCCTCACGTCACTAAAGCGTGTTCCCTCAGCTCCTCTCTCCTCATGTTTTCCTCATATCTTAAGTACGTGATCAGGACTCAGATGCAAGTGAGGAAAGCGTGGTTGCAGAGGTTCCGGTTTGGTTTTAAATGCCATGAAACAGGGCTGTGTGCTGGGCACCAGGACAGTGGAGCTGAACAAATGAGCGATGCTATATTTACACAAACTGTTTGAGGTGTAAATGATGTGAAAATGCTGTTTCACAACTTGGAGTCCACCACAGCCCCGTGCCTGAAACTGAGGCTGTTACTGCATTTTGTCTTTTTGCATGTGCTGGGTCTTTTCCCATGGCGGCTGATGGGAAGTGTAGCTGCATTTGCAATTGTAAACACACACACACATAAGCCTCTCTGGCCTGCAATCAATAGTGCATGGAAATTAGTGGCCGGTACAATAGTGTGAACTCTAATGAACCTGTTCTGTTGAGAGCCTTGACTGAAGCCACAGCAGATGGTATTATCTTGTCTCACTTATTTTTCCTTAGACTTGTCTCACAGGATTTCTGTTGCCTTTCACCCTGTTGTGTCTCTCAGACCGATTGCCGCAAACATTCATGTACCGTTCAGCTCAGTGTGCAGTGCCTATTTTGTCGTCAGTCTAGGTCTGCTCTCCTTTTCCCTTCGCACATTATAATTGGCACCACAGCTAAACCTTGAGTTACATAATGAACGGTCTTCTTGCCACGTCAGGATGATTGACTTCCTGTGTTCCTCAGAGCAGCACGCATGGACACACACACACCAGCACACAGCTTCACTCTGTGAGACAGCCCTAATGACAACCACACTCACTGGTGCATGTGAAATGTGCTCTGAGGAGGTCAGTGCTTCTTAAATGAACACAGAGGGATGATCATTATCGTCCTCTGTTTGGACTAATAGGACAGGACAGCGTTGGCGCCGTGGCCTGTGCTGTGTGGGTGCAGTGGCAGTGCCGTGCTCTGCAGTGTTGTTGCGTACACCTCAGGTTACAGCCGTCTTAGTCCTGGGAATGCTGGTCATTTTACTGCCCAGGCAGGGCTGTGACATGTCTGCAGAGGATTTCACATGATGCTGATTGTTACCAATAGTTCATTATATCCAGCTGTACCCCCCCACCACCACCACCCCCACCAACATTGTGTTGTTACCTCACGTTTTCACTACTTGTCTTGTTGTATATTTGTAGTCATTTTGTATCTTGTTTTGCTTTTGTTGTGTCTGCTTGTCTCTTTGTGGTTCTGATTCCGTCTGTGCTCATTTTGTGTGTCTGTAATTGGTTTGCATCATATTTTGGTTTTTGTAGTCATTTTGTATCTCTGTCTCTTTGTATGCTTTGCATATCTTTGTTTCTCTGTAGTTTTTCACTTCTTTGTCTCCTTGAGGTTTGTGGTTGTGTTGCCACTGTCTGTTTTTGTGCATCTCCTTGTCTCTTTGTTGTTGTGTTGCATCTTTTTGTAGCTATTTAGTCTCTTTAGTTTTTATCTCTCTGTAGTTGTGTTGTTCTGTATCTCTCTCTTTGTTGTGGATTTGCACCATTTTATCTCCTGGTACTTATTTTCCATTTGTCTCTTTGCAGTTGTGTTGCATCTCTTTGTCTCTGTGTTGCTGATTTGCATCTCTTTGTCTCTGTCTTTTTGTCTCTGCGTGGCTCTGGCAGCTAATTATGGACAGAGACCAATCAGTGTTCTGGCGTTGCTCACTGTTCACTGAAAGGCATGAATAAAACATTGAGAGCTGTGTGGCAGCTCAGTACCTCAGTGGGAGGCACTGTCACCCCACAGTCAGAAGGTTCACATTTCTGGCCTTATCGTGTCTTTGTGAAAATGATAATGAATCAGCATGCTGAGCCTCCAGTATAGATGGTCAATCCTCACAGGAAGCATCATTAAGACAGTTTACTGCCAACAGTAAGCAGCACAGATGAGGATCGCTGATGTCTGAATGTTGAACTTAAAGCCAGCAACATGTCTGTGCCTCAGACCGTCTGCATCGCTAGGAGCCGTGCGGCTCCGGCTACTAGCAGCTCACTCTGTCCAGATGGCCGCCGCTGTGAGCTGCTTGTTAGCGGCGTGTGGCAGTTTGCTCCTGATGTTAAGAAGCATTAGCACCACTTTGATTCCTTATTACAGAGATGGCTGTGCAGCCATCTATTCATGTATTGTGCATGAATGTACATCTACTTTAATCCGGCTGATGACACGGGGCCTCTAGGATACATACCAGTCCAATATGTTGGAATAACGGCACTAAACATTATTAGCTCATACACAGGTGTGTCTGCAGAATCCCTCGCTGTGTAGCAACATCCCAGTGAGATGAATTTCACCTAGGATTTCCTTTTGTGTTACTTACACAACCACATTTCTTAATTATTCCATGTGAGCCAATGAGCAGCAGCCGATTGTTTTTAAATCACTGACTACATTTAAATTCCTCCTGTTATTTACCCAACCTCAGGTTTTTAATGAAAAATCATGCCCTCGTATTTAACCACTGTTAAAAACTCCTGTTCTAATTCCATTATTCATTTCCCTCTGGGCCAGTAGCAGACACACACATTTCATTTTGATGAGATTAGACTTAAAATTCATGTGTTTACTGTTGGATTAGGCATACCCTTTAAATATTGTTATTCATGTTATTTGAAACTTTTACATAATTGCAATAGAACAGCTGAACACAAACCGTGGAAACAACTCCTAACACTGAAATGAATCTGAATACAGGTGTGTTTGTACAACAGGCAGCTACAGATCCAAATCTGTGGAGCCACCGGAAGACGTTCCTGTTTGTGACCGTCCTGTATGATGTCCCACGTTAAAATGCTCCGTGTTTTTACAGAACATAAACACGGCACCGACCACAGTGCTGTTTTATGTGTCCCCGTGATGGTGAGTCAGCGGCCGTGCACAGTCACGCCCATAAGTTTTGAAAGAACGCGCTGTCAGCTGTTATTGCTGTAATAAAGCTGGAACCTGCTGCAGTGGCAGGAGGCCGGCCCTCAGTTTGTGGATTTTACTCGGTGGCTACTTTACAGTCACACGCCGTGGTTTCATGTTGTTCAACTGCACTGGACTTAGCCACTTGAGAAGTAATTATATTTGCCAGTACAGTTTTTCAGCTGTCAGTGATTATCAACTCAGATATATAATATTAGAGTAGGAGGAGTAGGATATTAGGAGAGGAGGGAGGCGACAGTGGTGTGGTGGATAGAGCAGTCGTCTCCCAACCAGAAGGTTGGAGGTTTGAACCTCGGTGCCGGCAGTCCATGTGTCGAAGTGTCTTTGGGCAAGACACTGAACCCCCCCGTTGCCCCCGATGGTTGGAGCCGTTGGTTGAGGTGGCGCCGCAGATGGCTGCCATCGGTTCTACACTGGAAACAAATTCCTTGTGTGTAACATACTTGACCAATAAAGGTGATTATCCAGTATGTGATGTGGCTCCAGTAGTGCAGGACCGCGGACTGGGATATGACCACAGTATGATATCTGTGATGGTGTGACATCCAGTTTGTGGCACATTTATAACTAAAAAAAAAAAATCAACAGTGATCCTGATGGACAGTACAGCTCCAGTGACTCTCTGTTCATGTCACATATGTCGTTAATTTAATTACAGTTACATAATAACATGACAAACTATGCTGCACGTTGTCACACTGGACTTCAGTCCCGCCA